TCCAAGCTGTCTTTTCCTTGATGTGGTGGGGCCACTAAATCTTGTTTGATCCTGATTGTGGCTCTTCTGGCTGCTTGTAGTGATTTTTCCTTGACCTGTTAGCTCTGGTTATTTGCAATAATATTCCTGGGAGCTTTCATTTGCTATTTCTTTCAGGAGATGACTGTTGAAATCTTTCATTTTCTACTTTATCATCTGGTTCTAAGATACCTGGGCAATTTTCCTTTATAATTTCTTGAAATATTATGTCTAGACTTTTTCTTTATTACTTTCAAATAGTCCAGTGATTCTTAAATTATTTTTATTCATTTTGCTTTCTGTCAGTTGTTTTTCCCATGTGATGTTTCATATTTTCTGCTTTTTCCTCCCCTCACTTTTTTTTTTACTTCATTTTATTCCTTATTTCTCATGGAGTCGCTAGCTTCCTTTTGACCAATTCAGATTTTTAAGGAGTTATTTTCTTCGGTAAAGTTTTGTACCTCATTTACCAAGCTGTTAATTCTTTTTTAATATCTTATTTTTCATTGTTCTCGTTTGATTTTTTAAATAATTCTTTTTAACTCTTTCTTTAACCCTTCTAGGAATTTTTGTTGGGATTATGTGCAATCTGCATTTTTCTTTGAGGCATGCTTGTAGACATTTTTGAGTCATTCTCTTCTTTGTTTCTTGAGCTTCCTAGTCACCATAGTGTAACTCTTTATGTTTGGATTATTTGTTTGCTCGTTCTTCCAGCCTGCTTCTTGACTTTGAGCTTTATGTTAATGCTGGGCTCTATGCACTTTGGAGGGAACGTCTAGCCTGCTCTGCCCTTTTATAGCCATCTGCTGCTTTCACAGCTTATTTTGGGGGCCTTCAAGTTTTTAATGCTCTCAAAATTGTGTGAATCAGGGAGAGCTGTTCACTGTCCTCCTGGTCTGAGGTCAGCAAGTTCCTTACTTAAGTTTGGGTTGTTAGACTTATGTGTGGGTTGCTTTCAATAAACTGCTGCTGGACTCAGTCACTGTTACCCTGCTGCGAGGTTCTGCAGGTTTAGAATGACTGAACTGGCTACCCCTTGGTATGGAATGCCTGCATGGTTGTTCCACCGCAGGCTTATGTTCTGGACTGAAGTCCAGAACCTAAAACTGAATCCCTGCTGCTTTGCTCCTAGGCTCATAGCCACACAACTACATTGCAGAAACTTGTTCCTTGCCCACAGCAAGGCTACAGGGACAGGGAGGAGCGATCATAAGGGAACAGAGCCAGCTGTTCAATGCTACATATAGCTCTGTTCCCTTACAGTTGTTCCTCCCTGCCCCTGCATCTGTGACCCAGAATTGGTAATGGGCAACACAGCTGCCAGACAACATGTCTTCCTATACCTGGTGCTGATTTAGAAGTCTCCTGGGGTCTTTCTGCCTTTCTTGGCCCCCTTCTGTCCCTTGGTCAGGAATGCTTCCCACTGTTGCTGCCTTCCATGCCCTGCTCTTGCCCAGCCCCTGCCCCCAGTGTTAACTGACCTCTCTGTCTTCCTAAGCGTTTCTGGGCTGGAAAAATGACTCACTGTGACTTTCTTTTGTCTTTCTCAATCAGAATTGGTCTGGACCATTTTCTAGATTGTTTTGGAGGAGGTATACTGAATGAGCTCAGGTGGAAAATGTATCCTCTCACTCCACCATTTTGATTCCACCTCCCTTTTTAGGGAAAGAAAAATACTTGGACCTGGAACAAGAGAAAGGAGAGGTATCTTTAGGCATACAAGCCCCTTTTCCAGAACTCTCTCACCTTGGAGGCGTTTCAGACTTTACCTCCAAATGGCTTTTTTAAACAAGCTTTATATAAATTTCTTTTCTTCTGGGCAGAGCCAAGATGATGGAGAAAAGGCAGGAAGTTGCCTGAGCTCTCCCCAGTTTCCTTCAAAACTCTAAATCAAGCCTCAAAATAAATTCTGGAGTGACGGAACCCACAAAAGAACAGGGTGAAACAATTTTCCAGCCCAAGATAACTTAGAAGGACTGCAGGAAAGGTCTGTCTCACTTGGGTAAAAGAAAATAGCCCAGCACAGGGGGTGTCCAGGCAAGCCAGCTGGACGCCCCTACCCCTAGCACAAATCAGCAGCTGAGGCCCTGTGGTCCTAGCTCAGCAGGCTGGCAGCACAACTAGCCAGCTGTAAGGCCTCAGGCCCCAGCACAGCAGTTGAGCTGCCAGCCCTGGAGCCTGTAGCACAACAGGTGAGCTGCTAGCCTTGGAGGCACACCAATGCAGTAAACCTATGAGTAGGCTGCTGGTCCTGGGCACAAGAAGCTTGGGACAGTACCTCCTGTACCCCAGGAACAGAATTTAAAAAGTCATGAAATAGGCTGGGAAATGAGCAGAAAAACAAAACAAAACCAAAGCTCTAATTATAGAAAGCTACCATGGCAACAGAGAAGATCAAAACACAAATTCAAAAGAGGATAACAGTGTCAAAATGCCTACATGTGAAGCCTTAAAGAGAAATATGATTTGGTCTCAGACCCAAAAAGTCCTCTTGGAAGAGCTGAAAAAGGATTTTAAAAATCAAATAAGAAAAGTAGAAGAAAAGCTTTTCAAAAAGAAATGTTTTCTTTCTATCCCTTTTTGCTATTTATGAGATGTGGAGGTAAAATTAGCAGTTGTTTCTACCTTGGCAACTTGATACTTCTTATAATCTTTTATTATATACCACTGTAAGATTTTATAGACAAGTTTATAATATAAACTGGTGTTGCCTCTGGCTGCCATTTCTCCTCACCTGGCAGAGGATCAGGTTATGTATTAGATATGGTGATTTCTAGACTTTTTGATCTCCTTATTGTGGCTGTTACTTCATGTTGGCTAAATTTCTTAGGAAATGGGGATTGGATTAATGCCTTTTATTTTATCATTGTCCTTTTTTTATATTAATAGCTTATTTAAAGTTAAATTTGTTTAAAAGGTACCCCAAATGTTTTCATTCTAATTTAGCATTGATTTAATTCTGGAAAGTTAACTTCACCAAGCTTATGGGTGTAAGTGAAGTCTCAGAGTTGTTTTAATTTGCATTCTCTAATTGTTAATGATTTGAATAATTTTATATGGATATTGATAACATGGATTTCTTTTTCTGAGAATTACCTATTCATATTATTTAACCATTTATCAATTAGGAAATGGCTCTTATTTTTATAAATTTGAATTAGATCCCTATGTATGTTAGAAGTGAGACCTTCATCAAAGAAACTTGCTGAAAAGATTTTTACTCCATTTACCTGCTTCTCTTCTAATTTTAGTTGCATTGGTTTTATTAATGCAAAACCTTTTAAATTTTATATAAACAAAATTGTCCCTATTACCTTCTATGATCCTCTCTATTTCTTATTCATGAACTCTTCCTATCCATAGATTTGATAAATAATTTCTTTCTTGTTCCTCTGATTTTTGAAATCACTATTTATGTCTGTACATATACCCATTGCTTAGGTTAGTATATGATGTGAAATGTTGGTCTATATGTAGTTTCTGCCAGAATGCTTTCCAGTTTCCCCACAGTTTTTGTTGAATATTGAGTTCTTGCCCCAATAGCTGGTTTCTTTGGGTTTATCAAATACTAGGTGTTAACTTTGCTTCTGTATGTTGTGCACCTAATCTGTTTCACTGACTAGCTTTTCTGTTTTTTTGTTGTCTTTTCAGTCATGTCAATTTTATCATGTAATTTTGCCAATTACTTCATTGAAGTATAGTTTGAGATCTGGTATTGCTAAGACGCCCTTGTTTCCACTTTTTAAAATTTAATTCCCTTAATATTCTTGACCTTTTGTGAGAAATTTATATTCTAATGGGGAGGAGAAAAGTGGAGCTGTGTGTTATACATGGACCTGTGTGTGAAGATAGCTTGGAAGTGGGGAGAAGGCCTGGTTCTAGATAAGATAATAAAGCAAAAACTTATATATTTGAGTCAGGGAACCGGTGGAGTCTAGGCTTGGAGTGGAATAGGGAAGAACACGATGTTCAGAGTGTGGATAACATGGTGAGGTGATGGCTAAAATCTTGAATGAAGTCAGGGAAATTAAGAGGTAGAAATGAAGAGGAATAGCACCAATTGTGTCAACTCTGTATTTACCTAACTGTGTAGATGTGGTAGCCCACCCACCAGAGTCTGTTTTAGTTTATGTCTTTGTGTTTCCCAGCACATAACTTGTAGGTTAGTGCAGCCCTTAATCTTTAGCTGAATTGAATGGTAAGATTTTATGATATTTCTATTAACAATATAATTGAAATTTTTTTGTGTTTTCAACTTGAGTGGATTGCTAGAATAAAGGAGAGGCACAACTTGATGGAATAGTCCTCTTCTTTTTTAGCTTTGAATAATGTGAGTGGGGCTTTGCCCTAAACCTTGTCAGCAGTGATTTTTAAAATTTTTGTTTGTGATGATCTTTTACTGCAGTTTCTACTACCACTTTTCTTCACCTGAGGACTCTACTTGAAGCTTCCTTTCCTTCATTAAGCCCGAAGGCATGAGGTTTCTCTGGGCTGGTTTTTTTTTATATGTCAAGTTTTTGTTGATATATCATTACCTTTTTTGGGGGGAGGGGATAGGCAATGGGGTTAAGTGACTTGCCCAGGGTCACACAGCTAGTAAGTGTTATCTGTCTGAGGTCAGATTTGAACTCAGGTCCTCCTGTCTGGCCTAGTTTTTACTTAGGTACAAGACTGATGCCTTAAATACCTTTCCCCAAATTCTGATTTCATCCTTACATACAAATTTGTTTTTATTCAACCAAACTTCCGCTTTAATCCTGGATTTGCAGGATATTATTTTTCTGAGAATGTTTAAATAGAAAATAACAGATTTTAAAATGTATAAAGTAATTTCTACCCCACACCAGTAAGCCAGGATTGGAAGACTTTGTAAAACCATTATCTGAAAAATATAATATATATGCAAGCTTATTGAGATTTTTTAAAATTTAAGGTAATAAATGTTGAACTTGAACTGATTTCACTTAATTTGATTTTTGCAGGGTGTGAAATCTAAACACCGGAAAGATCGGCCACAAGATCTAATTGATATAGGTTTTGGCTATGATGAGACAGATCCATTCATTGATAACTCAGAGGCTGTGAGTAATTCTTTTTTTTTCCAGATATTTTATTGTTTCCATAAGTTTTAGAGGTTTTCACTGATGAAATGTGGGAAAACATACTACTTTTAAACATTTTGCATTATTATCCTGCTGATGATACTGGATCTTGGTTCTAGAGACAGATTTCTCTGTAATAAAAAAATCATTCATCCCATGATTGGAAGACTCAATCTTTAATTTCCAATTTCAAGACTTAACTTTTACCTAGGAAACTGTTCATGCTGTTTTTAATTCTGAAAGAGTGGCCCTATCAAAGACGTATACAGTAGTACCTGAACACTATACTTTTCCACAGTGCATCTTTTTATGGTGGAAAATCCTGAAATGACTCCTGGAGAATTAAGTGACTATTTTCAGCGAGCAAATATATGAAGCTCATTGTGATGGAGAAGACTTCTTTTGCCAGAATTTCACTTAAAAGAAGAATTATTAACCTAAAAAGTTGTATTTTTTAACATATTTTTCTTCACAGTTCTGCCTCCCTTAAGGCCATTTCACTTGCAAGTCAGGACGTCACCCTTCCGATGTCACTGGTCCTCTTCAAGAATGAAAGACAAACAGCAACAACACATATGTTAATAAGCCCTCTTAGGGACAGGTACTGTCCGGGCACTTTCATCCACCCAGTCATCCTTGATTCTTCACTCACATTACTCCCACATATTTAATCTTTTGGAAAATCATATCTTTTCTATCTTCATAGTATATGTCTCCTTCTTTCTACTTGCACAGCTGCCACATTGGTATAGGTTCTTAACCACTTTCCTCATGAATGGTTGCAGGAATCTTCTGATTGATATTCTTGCCTTAAGTTTTTCCCCACTCCATTCCATCATCCACTCAGCTTTCAAGCTGATTTTCTTGAAACATTGGTCTTGCCAGGTCATTTTCCTACTCAGTATGTCCAGTGGCTTCCTTGTTAATCTCTAGGATAACATGAAATTTGGAAAGCCCTTCAAAACCCGATCTTACCAGTCTTCTTAGATTTTTTCTCCTGTGTATTATTACAATCCAGTGATACTGGCCTGCTTTTAAATTTTTTAAAACTTTTTTTTTTAATATAGGCAGGTCCTATTTGTTCTTCTTTTTCAAAATGTAGATGAAAAGCAAAATTATCATTTAATCATATCTTCGCTTCTGTGTGTTAGCTTTTCATATTTTCAAGAAGTTTATTTCAGTCTTTAAAAATTAGACTTCAGTATTCATCTCACCTTCATCAGAATCCATTACTTACTTCTGTTGAGCTTAACTGTTATTGTCTTTTTTGTCGGCTGAATTACTTTTTCAAGAATGCCTATCAGTCCTTACTCTGATGCTTTCCCACTTAAACTGTCCAAATCTAACCCTCTGTGTAAAGTAGTGTTCTATTTCTCTAGTTTTTTTTGATTGTACAAATGTTAGATTATTTAGCTAGGCTTAAGCTGACTGATCCAGAACTTGAGCTGGAATATTGTTTCTCATCCCTCTTTTCCTGTGTTTTGCCTGCTGTTGTGCTGAGTCACCACAAGAATCTCCATGCTTCATTTGCATCTCTTTTGGCCTGTGTTTCCCCAGTGTTGGCCTTGGCAGGTTTATAGGAGAAAGGCACAGCTTAAGACTGAACATTGAGGGGCAGCTGGGTGGTGCAGTAGATAGAGCACCGGCCCTGAAGTCAGGAGGACCTGAGTTCAAATCCTGCCTCAGACCAAACACTTGATATTTACTAGCTGTGTGACCTTGGGCGAGTCACTTAACCCCAGTTGCCTAAAAAAAGAAAGAAAAAAAGACCAATAACCTTCTTGCTGTTATTCACATAAGACACTTAATCTTCCAACTCTATATTTTCAGAGGCTGTTCCCCATGCCTAGAATGCTCTACTGCCTTATATTTGATTCTTTATTTCCCTGGCTGTCTTTAAGACTCAGTTCAAATCCCACTTTCAGCAGGTCTTTCCCTTCCTCTTCTTTCTGAGATTACCTTATATTTATAATGTATATCGTATGTACATACTTATTTGCATGTTGTCTTACCCATTAGAATGTGAACTTTAGGGCAGGGATGTTGTTTTAATCTTTATATGTCTAATACTTAGCACATAATAAGATACAGGTTGAGTAACTGCTTCTTTGCTGATAGACATTGGTTTATTCAGGTTTTCCACTCAGTTGGAAACAATTTCTCTGTTTTTTCCATTGACCATATTATTACTTGTTTAATTTTTCCTGTAGTAGTATTTTCTTTTAAATAATTTCATTCCTTGTGTATGCTCTTGTTTCTGTTTTCCCCATCTTCTATCTATCTATCTATCTATCTATCTATCTATCTATCTATCTGTCTGTCTGTCTGTCTGTCTGTCTATGTTTCTATCTATCTAAGCCTTCCAAAGTTTTTCTGAATTTCTCTGGTCCATTGTTTCTTATGACATCATAATATTCCATTCCTTTATATACCACAGTTAGTTCAGAGGTCAGTGACAAAAAGAATAGGTCCTAAATACAGTAAAATATTTGTAGCAGCACTTTTAAATGTAATAAAGACTTGGAAACAGTATCTTCATCATTTGAAAAATGGGTAAACAAATTATGATACATGAATTTAGTGGACTATTATTGCATTATAAATAACAACAATAATGAGAAAATGTGGAGAATCATGAGAAAACTTAATGCAAAATGAAAAAAGGACTGGGAAACCAATATACTTACTGATTACAGGCTTGTTTGTAAATGGAAAGAACAGCAACAATATAGAATTTGTAATTTTAATGTTCAAGGTTGGCCCAGAAGAGATAAGAAAATATACTTCTCTTACTCCTTTGCATTGGAGAGATACTTGACTTGCAGAATCCAAGTAATTCAACTCCTTAGTTTGAGAGAAAATCTGAACTTTGCTTCTTCTAGCTTCTATAGTTCAGTCTCTGAGCATTTTTAAGTCAAAGACTAGAGTACCTGAAAGGACCTTTAGTAGTAGATTGTTGTGAATCTCCAAAAGTGTTTTTCTGTTCTTAATAGTTGTCTTTCTTTAACTACCAGCCTCATTACCTTTCTGCGGTCAAGATTGACCTCTTTTCTGTCATTTTTTAATCTGATAATTTAATTCAGTACTAGATAACCTGAGAAACAAACAGTAAAGTATTTTGAGTCATACCAATGCTCTGTATTTGGTTTCTGGACCTGTAAGGCCTCGTTACTCTTGTAATTATCTCTTATGGTCTTTACATGCACATGTTTCTTTTCCTTTTTTTCCCCCAAAATTTGTTTTAAATTTCTTATAGTCTAAAACATATGATCTTCAAATTGCTTAAGAAAAGGGAGAAGTTTGGCATTATTAATGTCTTATATTGATGATATAATGCATAATAAGAGATGGGGTAGTGCGCTACAGTGTCAAGAACATTGGCTTTGGAATTATAGGACCTGGGTTCAAATTTCACCTCTAAAACTTAAAAGTCATTCACCTTTGGGGCTTCAGTTTTCTCATTTGTAAAATAAAATCGTTGTATTAGATGGCCTCTGAGTCCCTTCCAGCTCTGTATATATTATTCTATGATCAGTGAACCCAGAAAATGTCTTCTTTGTATAGTATTTGGTCATTTGTTTCAGCTTTTAGGTTTGAATCTCCAATCTGACTGATGTATTGTTAGAAACAATATCAGTATTCCTGATGACTTTATTAATTAGGGAATCATTAGAGCTTAATTCATATTATATATTTTGGGAATTTCTATATTTTCCTTTTAGTTGTATAAATTTTCTGATCTTGTCCCAAAGGCAGTGAATTTGTTCTCTCACTCAGGAGACAGTAAAAAAGATTAGACTGTGAAACAATTATCAGCATTATTTTCACTTGTAATACTTATAGTTAGCATTTGAGGAACAAAGAGTGATAACATGTTGAATTAGTTTTTTAAATATTTTAATAAAGACTAAACCATTATGCTCTGAATAAATCCTTATTTTTCTGTGTAGTATGATGAATTGGTGCCTGCTTCTCTGACCACAAAATATGGAGGCTTTTATATCAATACGGGTACACTACAGTTCCGCCAAGCATCAGACACTGAAGATGAAGATTTTTCAGAGAATCAAAAGCACAGGTCACCTAAAGTAAGAGAATTTATAGAGTTAAAGCACTGATGGGGGAATCGTACAATTAATAGATTAAAATATTGTAAATTTACTTGTAGATGATGTGTTATATAAATAGTATGTTTAAGAAAGTGAAATGCTGATCATAGATATGTCTTTATCACTTTAAAAATGTGTGATTTGTGAAGGAACTTTCTTTTATAGATAATGTTTAGGCAGTGAGGTGGTGCAATGGATAGAGTTCTGTGCCTGGAGTCAGAAAGACCTAAGTTTAGATTCCATCTCAGATATTTATAAGCTGTGTGATCCTGGACAAACCACTTAATTTCTGTCTGTCTCAGTGTCCTCTACTATTAAATGGAGATAATATATAGCACCTATCTCCCAGGGCTGTTGTAAGGATCAAATAATATAGTATTTGTAAAAAGTGCTTAGTACAGTGCCTGGCACATAAGAAGTGTCATAAATACTAGCTTTTATTATCATTAATCCCTCAAATTTTGTAAAACACTTTACATACATTGTCTTATTTGATCTTCACAACAAACCCTAACTATATACTATTATTATCCTCATTTTAGGATGAGGAAACTGAGGGTCAGAGACTAAATGACTCTTTCAAAGTCACATAGATAATGTCAGAGGCAGGATTCAAACCTCCTGACTCCAAAATAGACTTCTGTGAACTAAGTTCATATTGTTTTCTTTTTTTAAAACTTTTCTCCCAACATGCCTGTTATGAGCCTCTATTTTCATCAGAATTTATAAGGTTAGGATTTCTTGGTGTTGTAGTGATAGCAGGTAGCTCTATTAGTTTTCATAACATCTTTTATTGGAAACAAGGCTGAATATTTATTATGTTCCAACTGGTCTGTGATTTTTAATTATAGGAACTCCTTTCACCAAATACATTTCTATTTCTGACCTAGTAGAGAAATCCTAGGAAGTTGCATGTAGCACACAGAGGTGTAGTGACTTGCCTAGGGTCATAGTTCAAGTCTCAGAGGTAGTGTTTGATTACCATTCTGCCTCTATTCCTCACACATTACAGACTATACTAAACTGTCTTGAGTACTTCTCAGTCAAGGAAAATGCTTTAAGATGTATTCTCTGTTCACTTTACAGGTTTCCAAAGTAAAAGAAGATGATGTTGGAATAAAAAAGCGAAAGCGGAAAGAAGAAGGGGAGAAAGAGAAGAAGCCTAGGAAAAAAGTTCCCAAACAACTGGGGTAGGTTTTGAGAAACAGAATAATGGAAACAGTCATAGACTACTTTGTAGTAGTCATTGACTTATTTTAATTTTTAAAACAAATATAGAATTAACTGTTATCTTGAACTGCTCCTAATTTAATGTAATATTTTTAAAAGAATAAAATGTTGTGATATAGTTGATAGGGCATTATATTTAGAGTCAAGAGAACTAGATTCTAATATATTAGCACATGACATTAGTTGTTTTGGTTTTTTTTGGGAGGGGGGTTTAATTTTGAGATTGACAGAAACAAGAAGTGAGTAGCGTACTTCATCATTAGTCCTCTGGAATCATTTTTGGTCCACTGATAAGGGTTCCTAAATCTTTTAAAATTGTTTGTCTTTTTCATATTGTTATCATTGTATTAGTTGTTCTCTTGATTCTGTTCACTTCAGTCTACATCAGTTCTTATAAGTCTTTCCCAGGTTTCTCTGAAACTGTCTCTTTCATCATTTCTTACAGAATAATAGTATTCCATCAAAATATTGCATATCGTGACTTATTCATCCAGTCCCCAATTTGTAGACATTACCTCAGATTCCCAACTTTTCTATCTTCCTGTTGAGTGAAGTGTATTTCTGTACGTATGTGTGTGTGTGTGTGTGTTCTTCCTTTCTTTCCCAGTCCAGATGAGAGGGATGTTCAGGTATCAGTCATTCACCCCATTCCTTCCTCCTTGTTTGTGTAGACTTCTTGCACACACCAGTTATGTGAGACAATTTTTCCCATCCTTCCTTTTGCTGCTAGTATATACCTCTTTAATTCCCTATCTGTTTTCCTGTTAATAACCACTCTAGGCCTTCTGTCTAATTAGACTTTCTCTATGATCCCTATTGACAGTAGGGTTCAGAGAGACCACATGTATCATGAAAGTAAACAATTTATGCTTGTTTAGTCCTTTATCATATTTGCTTTATTATGTTACTCTTGACTCTTGTATTTTAACTTGAAAGTTTCTACAAAGCTCTGATCTTTTCACCAGGAGTGCTTGGAAGTCCACTCTTTCATTAAAAATATATTTTTTTCCCCTTTTAGTATTATGCTGTTTTGCTGGCTGAGTTATTCTTGGCTATAAGCTTATATCTTTTTCCTTGTATAATATTATGTTTCAAGCCCTTTACTACTTAATGGTAGTGGCTGCCAAATTGTGTATATTCCTGTATGTGCCTCCTTAGTACTTTTGAATACTTTCTTTCTGACTGTATTTTTTTCTTTGAACCTGAAAACTCTGGATTTTGACTGTGATGTTGTTGAGAGTTTTAATTTGGGGATTTCTTTAAGGAGGCAACTGGTAGATTCCTTGTATTTCTACTTTACCCTTGGTTCTAAGAGATTGGGCAATTTTCTTTAAAGATTTCTCGAAATATCATACCTAGGCTCTTTATTTCATCATGTCTTTCAGGTAGTCCAGTGATTTTTAAATTCTCTTTTTTACATTCTGTTTTCCAGGTCACTTGTTTTTGTTTTGGAATACCATACCTTTTTTAGTCTTTTGAATTGGTTTTAATATTTCTTGTTATGTTGTGGCATTTCTGTTTGGTCCATTCTTATTCTTAGGGAGTTTATTGCTCCAGCAAAATTTTGTATAACTTCTGCCAAACTGTGAATTCCCTTTCCACTTCTTTTATCCATAACTTTTGTTTCTTTTCCATTTTTTTCCCTCTAGTGCTCTCATTTCACTTATAAAATTTTAAAAAACTTTTTAAAAAAAATTCTCATTTCTTTTATTCAAGGAATTTTATTTAAGCTTGTCCCCAAGTTGTGTTTTACTTTGAGGCTTTGCTTGTTGATGTTTTGGAGTTATTTTTTTTTTTCTGGATTTGTGTCTTGAAAGTCTCTGTCACCATAATAACTTTTTGTAATGAGATTCTTTTTTTTTTTTAAGATTCTTTTTTTGCTTACTCATTCTTAAAGCCTGCTTTCTGACTTTGAACTTTATGTTAGGGCCAAGCTCTGCACAGTAGTGGTACTGGAGGAAAGGTATGGTCTGGTCCTGCTCCTGCTTTCTTTGGATATTGAGTATAATATTATTCTAGGCTCTTAGGAATAGCTCAGGCTGGGGACCTGCAAGCTTTCAATGCTCCCAGAGTAGTCTGTTCTAGGGCATAGCCTGATCACAACTCCACTGATCTGAACTCTGCAAGTTCCTGACCTGGTTTTGGGTCTGAGCCAACAGTAGATGCTGATGGACTCTGCCACCATCAGCCAGTTGGAAAAAAGTTCTGTTCTTTCATCATGCCATGGCTTTGTAGGCTTCCCTTTGTTTTGGGATTCCAGCCCTGGTTTTTCTTCTGCAAGCTTCATATTTGGCTAGAAGCTAGAACTGAGACTCTACCCAGCCCCTAGAGTCTGAACCACATAGCTGCTACTTGCTTTCTGAGCTTGTTTCTTGCTCAGTGTATGGGTTAGGACCCTGTGTCTACTCGTTATTCCGGAATGCCACTCCTCAATAGAGGCCTCCTCCTCAGTCCATTTTGGATCTGTGACCTAAAACTGGGTGGTGGGGTAGCACAGTTGTCATTTGGCACCTCTTTCTGTACCTGCATGAGGTCAGGTGTGGATCTGGGACTCCATCTGACTATCATGCACAGTCTAGGTCTTCTTTTAATCCCTGGCCCCTGGAATGTTTCATGTGGCACTTTCCGGGCCAGACCCTATCCCTAGAGTTCAGACTTCTCTTTTCTCCTCATATTGACCTGGGCTAGAAAAATGACCAACTTTGGCTTTTTCTTAGGTTTGCTGGTCAGGATTCAGTCTGGTACATTGTCTAGATCTGATTGGAGGAGTTGTTTTTGCTTTTTGTTTTTGCTAGGCTGCGGGGTTAAGTGACTTGCCTGGGGTTACATAGCTAATAAGTGTCAAGTGTCTTAGGCCGGATTTGAACTCAGGTCCTCCTGACTCCAGGGCTCGTGCTCTATCTACTGTGCCACCGAGCTGCCCCTTGGAGGAGTTGTTTTGGGGAGTGTTTGTTATATTCCTTCCTTTACACTGCATCATGACTTTACTCCACATATCCTTCTTAATAGCCCAAAACTCTTTAAATAGTGGCAGAAATCCTTAAAAGGGAATTTTTTGTTTGTTTATTTATATTTTAATTAAGTAGAAAGTATTACATCCTAGTGATTTCTGGTTATAACTTCCTCTCACCAACCTCAACCAATTTCTACCTCAGTGAGCCTTCCTTTATCATTCCCCTAACCTCCCAAGAAAAAATTAAGTAAAACCAACCAACACAGTGACGGGTCTGCCATTGTTTCCAGTAGTCCCTCACGCTTCTGTTGAAAGGAGGGAAGTGTTTCCTCAGTTCTTCTCCACTTGGCCTACTTTTTAGTATCATACTATTGAGTAAATACAGAAAACGGTTCAATGCTTGGCATATATATCAGTACCCTTTTCTATACTGCTTTCTCTTTAATTAGAATGTAAAATTCTATTATTCTATTTGTATATATTCTTATATATGAACACAGATCAGTTGGAAGGTTAACAAACATTTATTAATTGAGTAGCCAGGCACTATGCTAAGCACTAGGGTTTGAGTAAAAGGGAAAAAATCTATCACTGCCCTTAGGGAGTTAACATTTTAATGTGGGAGGCAGTATGCCAACAACTCTGTGCATACAAGATATATACAGAAAAAATGGGAATATGTCTCAGAGTTATGTCAGGTTAGATGCTGAAGAAGGAGGTGGGAGGAACTGTGAAATATTCCTTGTAGAAGGTGGGATTTATGCTGAGTCTTCAGGGAAAGCAGAAGGCAGACAGGAGGAAGAACATGCTAGGCTTGAGGGGCAGCCAGTGAAAGGTGCAGAGTTGGGAGATGGAGTTCAAGGAACAGCAAATTATGTCATTGGATTAGAGGTTCTCAAAATTATTTGGCCTACTACCTCCTTTAAAAAAAAAACTCATTGCCCCCCTGGAAATCTACTTTCTTTAATCCTTTAACAATTTTTTAAAAAATTCATGTCATTTCAAAATACTACCTCCCCCCCAGATTGTTTCAGTAACCCCCTCCTCCACAGGAGGCAGTATCACCTACTTTCGGAACCTATGATACTATGTGAAGGAGATTAAAGTGTTAGAAGACTGGAAAAGTAGGGAGGGGCCAGGTTTGTGAGCCAAACGGAGGATTTTATATTTGATCCTGGAGATAATAGGGAATCCTTGAACTTTAATGAGTAGAGGTATGACATGATCAGACTTTTGCTTCTAGGAAGATTACTTTGGCAGCTGAAAGAAAGGATGAGTTGGGATGGGGAGAAACTTAAGATAAAGAGACTAGCAGTGAGCTATTACAACAGTCCAGGCAAGGATGACAGTTGTGTGAGTGGAGAGAAAGTGACATATAAGAAAGATGTTGTTAAGGTAAAAATGACAAGACTTGCTGAGTGAAGTGAGCAGATCCAAGAGGACTTTGTACACAATAACAGCCACGTTATGCAATGACTAAGATTGTTAAACTGAACCCTTCTCAGCATTACGAGGATCTAAGACATCTCCAGAGGCCTTGGGATGGAAAATGCTGTCCACATCCAAAGAAAGAACTGTGGAAGTCGAATTGCTATCACTTATTTTTACCTTCTGTTGAGTTTTGTTTCCTCTTTCTGATGGTGCCTCCTATTGGTTTTAATTTTTACTTACAATTTCACTAATGTGAAAATATGTTTAATGGGTATGTAAATGTAAAGCCGATATCAGATTGTGTGCCGTCTTGGGGAGGGTGGGGGGGAGGAAAAGGGGGAGAAAAATGTTCAACTCAAAAGCATATGGAAGTGATTGTTGATAAATCAAAATAAATTAATAAAAATAAAATAAAAATAAAAATGACAAGACTTGGGAACATGTGGAATATATCCAGTGAGTTCTATTAGGGAGTTGATGGTGACACACATTTACCAGGTTAATTAGGAAGATGTTGGTGTCCTTGACAGTAACAGGGAACTTAGAACTAGGGAATAAAGATAATGAGTTCTGCCTTAGAAGATGTTGCGTTTGAGCTATCTTATGGGCATTTGGTGATATGAGCCTGGAGGTCAGAAGAGAGATTAGGGCTGGATAAAAAGGTCTAAGGATTATCTATCAAGAAATGCCAGTTGAACCCACAGAACTTGATGATCTTACCAAATGAAATTGTATAGAGGCAGAAGAAAAGAGTTCTCAAGACAGTAAGCCTTGAAACACACTCACAATTGGGGCAGCCAGGTGGTGTAGTGGATAGAGCACCAGCCCTGGGTTCAGGAGGACCTGAGTTCAAATCTGGCCTCCGACACATAACTTACTAGCTGTGGGACCCTGGGCAAGTCACTTAACACCATTGCCTAGCCAAAAAAAAAAAAATTAACAAAGAAAAGAAAGACACAATTAATGGAAGGACCAAGAGAAAGCAATTTGATATTAACCTAGAAAAGACAAATTAATACTATTCTTTTATGCTAGTGATAAATTAATTTTTTTTCCAGACAGGAATAAGAAAAACGTACCTACTTTTTCTGTGCAGGGACCTCTGTGTAGAGGTCAAAGATGCGTGGAATTATTAACCGCTGGCTTAAATGACTAATCGTGTTGGAAATAACTCAAGACAATTCTAGAGAATTTCTTTTCTCTGGGTTTTTGTGACCCTAGATCTTCATTCAGGTCATGTTCCCTCATTGTGGATAGCTTCCAAGGCTCTGTCCTGGACCCTCTTCTCTTTTCCCTGTATCTTATTTGGTGATTTCATCAGCTCCACAGGATTGGTTATCATGTCTATCAGGTGATATCCAGATCTTAGTCTGAGTCAGAGTCCTGGTCTCTCTGTTGAGCTCCAATCTTGTATCTCTAATTACCTGCTGAAAAATTTTGAGCCGGATGTCCTGTAAGCATCTCCGTTTGTCTCACGCCTCATCTTTCCTTCCAAAACTCTTCCCTTCTTCTGGTCTTCCTTGCTACTGTCAAGGGCCCTACCATCTTTCCCAGTGCCCAGGTTCACAACTTTGGCATTATCCTTGACTCATTCCTCACACTAATCCCACAAATCAACAAATACTGTCTTTTCTACCATCACAAAATCTCTCATCTGCATCCTCTTTTTCTACTCCCACAGCTCCCACATTCTTACAAACACTGCCTCACACTTGGACTGTTGAAATAGCCTGCTGGTTGGTTTCTGGCCTCAGGTCCCTCCCTCCTCCAGTTTATCTTCTATGTGGCTGCCCAAGTGATTTTCCTAAATCTTAGGGCTATCCATATACTCCTTTTGTGAAATCTTGATTCTGTATTACTTCCAGGATCTTCTAAAGTCCTCTAAGGCTCTTTACAACCTGACCCCTTCTTACCTTTGCAATCTTCTCCCACTTGACACTGTTTCTCCCCTTCCTCCCCCAAAACTCTATGGCCTACTTACTCTTCCTTAAGTATGATACTCCTGTCTTTCATCTCCATACCTTTACTTTGACTTTTCCTGATACCTTGAATACTCTCCCTCCTCACCTCTGCCTCTTGACCTTCCTGAGTTCCTTCAAAATTCAACTTAAATACTGCCCTCTGCAGGAAGTCTTTCCAACCCCCTTGTGCTCTGCCCCTAGCCACTTGAACTTTCCTCTCTAAAGTTATTGTCTTCCTACTCTGTGTTTATCTTGTATGTATCCATTTATAGATTGTCTCCTCCATTAGTATGTAAGCTTTCTGAGGGAGGAACTTTTTTTTTACCTTTCTTTTTATCCCCAAGGCTTAGCACAGTGCCTGATGTATATAGTAAGTACTCAATAAATGCTTGTTTGATTGATTAATGTTTCCAAAATTTGGGTATATAACATTATAATTTCTTTTCTCATATAGTATTTCATATTTTAAAATGCTTATCACTTTTCTTTATATGCCCTATAATCCCATTCTGTAGTTAGTATAAGAAAATTTTGCCTTTGAAAATTGTCCACATTTGTCTGTCAGCCTTGATTTTTATTCTTTCCTATTATACTTTTTTTCTTAAGTAGAAATGAAAGGTGAACAAGAATCAGAAATTGGGAGTAGTGATTTAGAGCTCTTGGAACACAAATAATGGTTCAAGGTACAACAAATTAAGAGTCATAAAATTTAGGTTCTATTTCTTTCTACCCTTATTGAAGTACAAGCTCAACAGGATATGTATTTGAATATTATCATATGTCCATTTTCTATCTTTTTTTTTTCAGTAAAGTGATCTTGAATTTGTTTTGCTAATTTATAGTTATACTACCTTACACGTATTCACATTCTAAAGAGGATGCTTTCTAGTGATATGAAGAGTGCTTCATAATTTTAGTTGATTTTCATCAACTTGAGTTGTTCTTAGTTCAGTTTGCTCCTGTTAATCTTTTCCTTCTGTTCTCTGGACTTCATAGTCAGACACTTAACTTACTATTGGTGCCTGTTTCTTATTGAAGAAGAAGAAGGAGATAATAGGAAAGTATAATTTGATGTAAACAGATTCTTAAGATACACACAAATTTTGCTTTGCTACCAGCTATTTTTAAATTTCAGTGAGTATCTACATATTCATTATAAGCTATTTTAGTTTCTAAAAATCATATGTAACTTTTCTTTTTCCACAGAGTTATGGCATTAAATTCACATAAGTCTGAAAAAAAGAAGAAGAAGCTCTACAAAGATCCCCTTTCTCTAGATGCCATGATAAGGAAATTTCAGAAAGAGAAAGAAGCATTAAAAAAGAAAGAGTCTAACTCTAAAGCTCCAGTGACTATGTTGACTACCACTCTCAGTAAATCCCCTTCATCTGCAGCTACAGCAATGGGAAATGAAGTCTCGGACTTAAATCTTAATAGCGCTGATCCAGTCCTTTCCATTTTTGGTAGCACCAATGAGCATGAACTACTTCAGGAGGCTGAAAATGCCCTAGAGATGCTTGGTGATTTAGACTTTGATCGGCTACTGGATGCTACTTCCAATGGTAGTCCCGTGTCTGAATCAGGGGGAGAGAATGGAAACACTCCCCAGCCAGCTCACACCTCTCAGGTTGTTTTACCCAAGGTGGTGCCTGCCCTCCCAGAAGGTCTGCCAATACGTCTTGAAAAACGCATTGAAGACCTCCGCATAGTAAGTGTAACCTTCTGAAGAAAAAGTAATTCTTTTTAACTTATTTGAAGGATGTCTTAGGGAAAAGTTTGTTTTTTTCCTAGGTGGTGCAGTGGGATAGAATATTGGACTTGGAGTCAGAAAGACCTGAGTTTAAATCTGGCCTTAGACACTTGCTAGCAGTGTGACCCTGGGCAAGTCACTTAACCTCTGATTGTCTCAGTTTCCTCAAATATAAAATGGGATTGGTAACATCATCTACCTTGCAGAGTTGTTGTGATGATCAGATGAGATAATATTTTGAGGATGATGTTAGATCTTGAAGGGCATTATGTAGAAGGAGAGGAATAGCTAATAGGAATAGTGAAACATGTAGCCAATGGAGACTTAATAGTAAGTAATTAATTGGAAATTTTACTCTTTTTTTTTTCAGAATATCAGATAACATAGTTAACTTCCTTAAGTTATCTTATTGTTATCTTAGAAATTCCTTTTCTGTTTGTTATTAGTAGGTAGATTAGAAATTGAGAGATTCCTTAAGATTTTGAAATAAAAAATCAATAAACATTTATTAATATCCTCCTTTGTGCCAGGCACTGTTCTAAGCACTGGAAATACTAAAAGAAGCAAAAGACAGTCCCTACCCTCAAAGATCTTACAATCTAATTAAAATAAATATCATTGATAGCTTATGAAGAAAACACTTCAGATAACCATGAAAGTATGAAAGAACAGAGTTATTGATGATACCTGTTTAAACACTTAAAGTATTTTCAAGGTTCTAAAACTTTTTAAGTGAATCTGCTTCTTTAAAAATACAAAGTAGGCCTAGAAATAAATTGACTAATTCTAACTCTGTTTTATAATTCTAAATACATGGAAATTGATGAAGAGTATCTTTACCATTTTAAGATTATCCAGCTGCAAGTGTGTTCAGGTAATAAGACCTGAGGCTGACAAAATTAGGGAAAACTATAGGTTTGGAGCACAAGAAAATGCTGGAAAGAACTGAAACAGAACAAAGACTTGCTGATAGGCCACACTTGCAACTTTAGGCAGTAGGTAATTATTTAATAAATAAGCATTTATGTTCACTTCAGGTAAGCAAGCATTTTTTTTTTAACTGCATACTGTTTACAGAGCACTGTGCTGTACCCCAAGGGAAACACAAAATGTATTTGAGATTATCTCTTCTCTCATAATACTTAGAGCCTCGTAAAGTGATGGGAGACATAAACAGATATGTCTGATATGTAGAAATACATGAACAGCACATTAGAGAGGTGTAAAACAAAGTGATATTTAGGTCCACTGGGAAAATGTCTTTACTAATGAGTCAATGATGGGAGACTTCATGGAGGAGGGAGATAGATGGAAGTTGATTAGATAGTCAGGAATTCAGTCAGCAAAGAGGAAAGATTACCTTCTCAACAGAGGGAACAGTGTTCTTAAACAGTCTTGAGGCAGGAAAGCCCAGAGTATCTTAAGGAAACAATGCAGTCTGCTTGGAGCAGAGGACAGTGATCTGAAATAATGCGCGTTGGCACCAGTTTGTAGAGTGTCTTCTGTGCCAGGTAGAAGAGTTTGAACTTAAGTCCTTAGGCTCCATGTTGCCTCTGAAAGATTATGGGTAGAGAGATGACTTGATGATAAATTATAACCTGAAATAGAAAAAGAGCGTCTTAGCATCCTGTCTCAGAAACTTACCATGTTAATTTTTTTCCTTGGTGAGAGACTGTATTGTTTATTTCATTTATAATTCCCTATAAAACTGGACAGTAAGCACTTGACAAATGTTCGGAACTCACAGAAAGGGGGGTAGGTAATAGAGTATGACCACTTTGAGGAACAGGAGATTGGGTCTTACCCATTATCCTTATTGCATTCAGCTGTCCTATTCAGTATCCTTTTGAAGTCCCACTAAATCGTGGTGATAGGTTAAAGGATTAGAGAAGTTAAAATAAATGTTCATATCGGGAATTAAAGCTTTCTAACCTGTACTGTGTTTACTAATGTCATGTAATAATCCTAACCACACTTACCTTCCCTAGAAAGTTTATCAGTGGTATCTTATGGGAGTGTGTAAGTTGAAAGAAGCAAGGATCAGATAAAAGGAGCTTATTGCATCCTTGTCTTCACCCTTAAAAAAAATATAAGGCATTGGACAGACTTGTGGGCACCTCTCTTCTCTGTAGCCACAAGTGGAATGTAGTAAGTGTGTTTGTAGGAAGAAGTTTGTTCTCCTTTTGCTGGAGAGTAGCACAGGGTACGCCTGGAATCACAGCAGAAAATAATGTCAGCAAATATTTATTAAGCATTTAATTGCCAGGCACTATACTATAGTCTAAAGTCATCCAGTTATCCTCCTTGTCACATCACCTGACCTCTTCACCATTTTGGTCTGCCTCTATCTCTTTTTTAAAACAGTATGCCAGGTAGGTGAACTAGAATTATGCAGAACTTCAAGAAGATAATGAGAAATAGTGTCCAGGAGTTTTGAATGGTAGAGCAGAAAAAAAGAGGAGGCTCAAGATGAAAGGCCTCTATTTTCTTAGTAAAGTATGAAGATAGGTCCTTTGCTGAGAGTGTGCAAAATCCTGAATGTAGAAAGAAAGAAATTAAAGTGCTTCTGGAAGCAGAAAGGTTCCATCTACTTAGCCAAGCATTCAAACTAAGTTATTCCTGGTATGGCATACTAAATGTCACGGCCAAATGACCAGTTATATCTGTTTCTGGATATAAAGCAGTAGCGAGCCAGCCAGAAGTCGTGATTATATATGAGAGGACCTGAAAATCTGTATCTAAGATGGATGTTCTTATTGTTGGTCGGTTTTCTAATGAGGTTACCTACCGATAATAGGCCTTTGAAACATAAGCACTATCCCCAAAACTAAGAGCAAGTGACAAGAAATGGTATAGGAAAAAGAGAATGATAAACACTAGAGTCAGTAGCAGAAGTGGAGTCATTTCTAGAACATATTGCAGTAGTGGAATTTAGAAACTTTGATGAAGGTAGCAAGAATCAGACAATCTTCCATGGAAGAAGAGCAAACCTATTGACTGAAGAGTGAAGAGTGCTGTACTGTAGTCTGGCGGAGGGACAGAGAACCTACTGATACCTCAGTGGTCCCTAAGGTATCCATGTATCAGGCTAAACTACGTCAGTCAGAGGACAGCTATTCATTTAGTGGACACTTGTTGAGATTATCCTGTAGAAGTAGGGCTACTGTCTAGTGATATTTTTACTATCTTTATGTCAGTATTAGATACTCATTGACTCACTCTCTGTGCCAGGATGTTGTTTAAAATATAAAATGTTACTACAGAAGAGATTTCATGAGAAACTTGTATCATTGAAGTTCTCTGTGAGACTTCAAAACTCATGCCATTAAAAATGCCTTTTTAAAATGTTACTTAAGCCTGGAATAGTGTTAAGTCAAACATTAAAGAGGACTTACAGAAAACTGTGGACTGGTGTCATATATGCAGAAGTGTCATTTTTTTCCCCTAGTCATTTGTAGGCTTTGGAGTAACTCATCTCCAAAACACTGTAGCACAAATTCTTGAAATAGTAGGGGATGGCTTAACTTTCCCTGTAGATGAGAGGCCCATAACTAAGGTGGGTGGTGATGAGAGAATGAGAAATCAGAGTTTTTTACTCTTAGGCAGCCAGCAATTCAGCTTTCCACAGACTGGGAGCAAAAGAGGTGGTGTGAGTTTACTAATCATAGGGAATGAATCTGGGCAGAGTAGCAGTAAATTGGAACAGCTTCACTGATGATGGCATCTGAGTAGAATGTTCTCTGTCTCAGCTCTGCCTCATGGTGTCTTAGAATTGTGCTTTAAGCTATTGAGTGCCATGTTTCCTGTGTATAATTTTATGCCTTCCCTCAAATCTCTGATTGAGTCATCTCTTACTTTGTCATCCTTAACTAAATCAACAAGTAAGTCAGCAAGCATTTATTAAATATCTACTATGTGCCAGGCACTGTGCTAAGCCCTGTGGGACAAAAGAAAAGGCAAAAGATAGTCAGTCCCCTACTCTCAAGAAGCTTGCTGTCTGAGGGCTACTATTAATTAACATGGTTACAGTTATTCTCAGCAGTTCCCTGAATACTTAGTTCTGTGGTTACATACCTTAAATTTTGTTCCAGTTCATGTTTTGTCTGTGTGTTGTGATTTGTGTTTTTTGCCTCAACTCATACGCTAAATTGTAAGCTCCTTAAGGACAGAAGGACTGTGTCTTTTGATTTCTGTGCTATTATAGTAGAATATTTGACTTGGTGCTACATTCATCAAAGCCCAATAGGAAGGGAAGCACAGGTCTGATCACATCACTACCTTTTTCAAGAAGCTTCAGTGGCTTCTTTTTGTCCCTAAGAATAATATTCAGAGTTCCTTGTTTTGAAACTTGAAATCCTTCACAATCTGACAAAGACCTATATTTCCAGACTGATTTCAGATTACTCACCATCATGCATTCTACAGTCTAATCAAGCAAGCCTATTTGTTCCTATACAAATGTTCAATCTTTCTCCTCTTTGTCTTTGTACAAGTTTTCCCCCATTCTTGAAATGATTTTCCTCTTCATCTCTGCCTTTTGGAATCCCTACTTCTCTTCAGGGAGTTGCTATAGTGGCACTTCCTTCAGGATGCCTTTCGTGATCTTGCCACTTGTTAGTATTCTCCCTTTTAACATTGATTTCTATCTACTTTGTGTATATATTTTGTGTTTTCTTAACCTGTGTACTGCATGTTGTTTGCCCCAGTAGAATATATGCCCCATAAGGGTAGGGACTGTTTTGTTTTTGTATCCTGAGGGCTTCACACAGTGTTTGGCACTCAATAAATACTTGTACAATTGAATTCTTGAGTTAAGTCCGGCAAAGGAATGGTCAGACAAGTAGGATTAGCACCATGACAAGAGTGTCAAAAAAGCCAAAGAAGGAGAGCACACAAGATAAGGGGGGTAGGGGGGGGGAAAGAGGAGGTCAAAACTGTTTTTTAAGATAGTATTTTTT